GCGATATAGCAACGTAGAAATATGATTTCGTGATCAGATAGACGTTGCGAGCGTTCAGGATTGCTAACACTAATCACTTTTCTCCGGTGATGAAAACGCGTGAAAATTCGTCTCCTTTATACGGTACGCGCCAGTAATACCTTGAACTTGAGCACACGCATGAAATGCGCCAAATCGGAAATCCGGGCAATGTTCGAGGACACAAATGCTTAGAAAGCACCACTGTATAGTCGAAGTAAACAAACACGACGGCACGGGCGTTTCTGCTATCTTGAGAGTGCCGCCACGACATCGCCGCACGAGTAGGTGGATGTTCCCTTCTAGTACGTGCTGGGTTATCATAGCGAAACACGACGAAAATTCACAGTCAAGGATAGCGCATTTACGCGGAACGATGAGCTTTCATCAGGCCGTCCATTCCGACGATCACCACCGACGCCACGTTTGCGGATAGAAGGAGCCGGCCGGCCCGCGACCGGAACGACCGGCCTGCAACGCGCGGAGATACGTGCGCTTCCGCGCATCCCTGGGGAACGGGAAATTCAACCCCCGCGGAGGAAGGCAAATAGAAAACGTAGTCCCTTGTTTGTGAAACGATAATTGCGCTATCGCGTATTCTAAACTAGAAATATTTTACGTCTTGGGAAATTATCATGCACAACATAATTAAATGAACTGAAAATTGTTTTTTTAGCGAAACTTTAAAAAGACCGCCAAAATTTTCAAACATACGATAATTTCATTGGTCCTCGCAAGTACAGAAAAGAGTCCGCACGTATTTTATTCCTGCGTGATTAATAGACGTTTCTGCCTTCTAAAACTGAAGATACTCATTCACTGACACTTCCTTAACACCATCGCACCAAAAAGTAGCTTCTCCAAAAACCGCTTGAGTGTCCCTTTAACTTTAGGCCTGCACCACCTCGCCGCACCTCCGAGAAAGCGAATTTTGCGGACCGTCCAAAGTGGGACCGAAGCGTTAGTGTGCACGCTGTATAGTATTTGCCCCTTAATTCCTCATTCTTTGTGCTTCATCCTCTAATGCGAATATTTAGTTTTGTGCGAAAAAACGCTGCTGACGCTTCAGGATTTCTTTAGGACCTGTGCTACCTGGATTTCAAAACAGACCAATATAAAATAATCGCACATTTAAGGTTGCTGTGGTCTCTTTCTAATTGCTTGTATTCATAAATTGATCGTATACGTGAATGCTGATATAGTATAGGCATAGCCTATTGCCGTCGTTTTATATAATACCCACGTTCGAGTCGGTCCTGTCTAATGCTATGGTGCGTGCACTTTATATAAATAAAGTATGAATGAAACGAAACTCCCAGTGTTCACTCGTTTCATTTTTGAAAAGCGTGTTCTCAAAACTCTGGTCAGATTTCGACCTTATCTTTCCAAGACGGGAGGTAAGTATGCAAGTAAGTGTTGTTATCCGAGAGTCTAGTCCGCAGGAAGTTAGTTGGCGCCAAAATATACCATACTGGCTTCGCAGTAAATGAAGAGTTTTGGGGAACCGTTTTTGGATATCCGATATTGGGGAGTTTTAGTAGACCGTGTTTCCCGCTCCGCTAGCCCTCCGCTACGAAGAAACCGCCACTGCGCCTGCGCGCCGATGGCCTTGGCTGTAGAGTTCCGGGTAGCGGAGGGGCTCAGCGGAGCGGGAAACACGGTCTACTAAAACTCGCTATTGTACGATGGGCGCTCCGGTAAACTCTGCGCATACGCTCTCACAGAAGTCTCGTATATACGCAGTTTGTACCGGAGGGCCCACCGTACCGTATCGGATGTGCAAAAACGGTTCCGTAAAACTCTCTAATGAGTCATTTCGCCGGTGGAGTACGACCGCTAGCCTAGAGATAAAAAAGTGAAAGACGTTTACAGTTCTCTATAATGCCGAATTAGAGCGCAGCTCTTGTGGAGGACAAGGGGAGGGGACGTAGGGGAGGGTATGCCCCTCCTTCTCCGTACCCTACCCTCATCCTCTCCTCCTCCTCCTCTCCCCTCCTCGTCCCTCCTCCTCCTTCTGTCCTCCTTCCGCTGAATTTGTTGATGGGTGACGTGGCCCTAAGTCGTGACGTCATTTTCCCCGCTAAATTTAGCGGGTAAACACAATTGGTGTTGCGGTCACGTGATGTAAATTTCCCCGCTAAATTTAACGGAGAAACATGGCCCGCTAAGGGTTTGCGGTAAAATTTTAGCTGGAAAGTTTTTATGCTAAATTTAGCGGGATTGGTCTTCGGAGCAAAGTACACTCGCTCGTTGTCTTCGAAACAATCTTCGACTCGATGATTTGATCACTCTAAAATTAGGCTAATTTCTGTCACTGTTCACTGCTCCCCAGTTTCACAAACTGGACAATCGAAAGGTACTTATTTCCCGGTTACTGCCACTTAATAAGGTTACAAGTATATTGTTCTTTTCTTGTCACACATATTTTAAAAAAGAAACATTCTCGAGGTTTAAGGAATTTATTTCGTGTAAAAAGCATTGGCTGAGGCGATAATTATTCCACATAGATGCTATAGCAACCTTTTCCAAAGCTGTATGAAGCGGGAATGTTTGTCCCTTCGCCGCAGTACACTGCTCAGTGGCCCCTTTTTCCACGCCCTTCGAAAATTAAGGGGGTTCCATGCAAACAATTATAAAAGCTATAGTGTTCGATATAAACCTGTTCGAAGAGTGTAGCCTTTGGTGTATATTTCTGGAGCACCCTTTCTATACCTTTAATTAAGGGTGTAAAATATCTTAGTGTATAGCATGTTTTGAAAAGGAAGAACTCTGGCGTTGCAGATTCAAATTCAAATTCAAATTCGTTTATTTTTGGCACAAACCGTACATTTGTGACAGGGGCGCTGGAAAAAAAGCTGCAGGTCTGCAGCTTGACGAGTCCCAGCGCCAGAGCAAGGTAAGAGCGGCACCGGCACATACAGACAAAAAGAACGAATATGTGCACACACACATAGGCATACACATATACAGAGGATAAACACGAGAAAAACATAAAAAGAATTCAACTTCGCAATCAACAGTATACAAAAAAGTGGTGGTTACTTATTATAAAGCTTCTTGAATGGAATAATGACTAACGGAGTGCATTTCAATATCACGGGAAAACAGGGTGTTTAATAAAAGTGGTAACTGGTGGCGATATCTTTGTAGACCAAAATTTGTCCTTGAAAAGGGAATACGCCAGGGGGGCCTACGTCGCGATGGATATACATACTCGTTTGCTTCTAGATTACCAAGATCTAAAGAAATGACATTATTTTCTCTTACGGATCGTTGATAATTAGCTATCAGTCTATGTGCATACAAATTGGTTATATCAATGACTTTATGTTTTTCGAAAAGAGGAAGGGAATGATAGTCACGCGGAACATTTTCGATTATCCTGAGTGCCTTTTTCTGCAATAGGCGTAATTTGTTAATGTTGCCCTTTGTAGTCGAACCCCATACCAGGTGGGAGTAGCAGAGCACAGGGTAAAACAGAGCATTGTAAATTAGTTTTTTAATATTTACCGGAAGTATGTGCCTGCATTTATTCAGTATTCCGACAACTTTGCATAGCTTTTTATGAACATAGGCAACATGATTATTCCGGGACATGTGACAAGAAAATATTACTCCCAACGTCTTTATACTATCGACGCACTCTATCGCACAATCCCCCCAAAACAAATCGCGCGATAACTGTGTGGTTGTGTTTTGTTTTCCGCTTCAATATAAAGTGCGTGGATATATATATATAGGGTGTCCCAAATCACCAGGCTCGATCTAAAATGGGCCGTAAAAATTGAGGCCTGCACGTAGCAATCTAAACTTTTCTTGAGACGTGTACTTCACGGGTCGGTTTTTTTCTTGTAAAACGTAAGAAGGGCCAAGGAACTTGACAGGGTCAACGGCGGGTGGCGACCCAGACGACCAAGTCGACTGGCAGGGCGCTTTGGCGCTCGTATTGATAGATGGCGCTACCTCCTTATCGACACTGCTCGGAACCACCATGGTTTATTAAAATTATCATAATATTGTTGTGAAGTACCTCTGGTTTAAAAAAATGGGGACAAAAAAACCAAAACTTAAAGTAAAAAAAAAAAAAAACGCGTTTCCATGACGACGGCGCTTTTGGCGCCAACAGATTTCGTCTGCGTATCGTCTGCTTTCTTTCGCTGGTCGGCTACACCTTCGGACGCTGCTCCAGATGCCATTTATCAATACACGCGCCAAACGCGCTTCGCAACTCGACTCGATCGTATGCGTCACCGTCCGCCGTTGACCAGGGCAAGTTTTTCGGCCCTATTTTTAAAGAAAGGGAACTACGCTTTATAATTTTACAAAAAAAAAAAACAACAACCTGTGAACTAGATCTTTGACGAAGAGCTTAGATTGCTTTGTTCAGGCGTCGATTTTTTACGGTCCACTTTAGATCGAGCCACGTGACTTGGGACACCCTAGATATATATATATAAAGTGTGGCCGTCGGAATTTATGACCGGGAGTGGATCATACGTGAAGAAATTCGTAATATTCAATCATGAAATCTTATAGGCAGGTGTTATGTTTGAGATATTTTAGTACACACTTAAACTGATGCGTAATAATAGTCACGACATAAGGTGATGATAACACCTACGATGGTCTCCTTATTGTTTGGTACAAAGGTAGTGTAATAGAGTACTTTGCTGACCGAAAGTAATCATAACTATTTCATTATTAATTTTTTATAACACGGAGAAGACCGTAAGTAAAAAGAAACCTCGAAACAAGTTTTGTATGTTCTTCCAGACAATCTAGAAGATATGCAGTTTGCTAAAAATGTCAGATATGTACAAGAGAAAGTACTCCTCTCGAATGCGCTCGTTGTCTCCCGGGACGTTTGACCGCGTGTGCGCCAAAGCGTTAGCAGAGGTAGAAAGCTCCCACTGGAGGGGAGCACCTACTGTATAACTCATGTTGAAACACACTATAGTTGCAAGAAAATACGAAGCCATTGGTCGTTGTTCCGGATTTTTTTTTATTTATAGAATGTTACTAGGCCCCTGCAGAATCGCTGCTCTACGGCCGCATGCATACAAACACGGCCCATCGAAACGCTTATTGCAACACAGTAAAAGCGAATTCTACTGACGAAACCTCCGTAATAAGCGACGAATTCACCGGAGCGCTGCCTGCTCTATTACGACTGCACGTCAGGCGGGCAGAGTTGTGCTTCAGTGACGTTCTTGAGAGGACGATGTTTCAGCGCAAGCGGTGTCACGCAATAGGCGTTCAGCCAGCTTGTCGGATAGCTCAGCACAAAGCGCAGATTGCAGTCGCAGTGAAGAGGGTTTCCTGCACGAAGAAACACAGTTAAATATGTGACCAAAAGAAGAAGTGGGACAAGCCAGTTTTTTTTAAAAGGGGCCAGCAAGAAATGTCGGAGACCTCTACCGGAAACCTGAAGAATTGCAAATCAGTAGCGTTGCTTACATTATGATATGTATCAAAATGTATCAACATGACACAAGGCGGCAATATAGGGTTTTTTCACTTTATAACAAAATATCAAATCTGACTAAATTGCCAACATAGCTAGTCACGTTGCCTGCATTTGAATCGAGTATACAGAGCACGAGGCCTCGCAGCCGGCTCTGTCCCCATGTTCTAGAAAACGGAAATGTCTGTTGCAAGGTAATAACTGCAAAAAAGGCTCCGCAAAAAAAGGTGCCCTGAAGGGTCAATGCAAAACCCATAAAACGTTGATTTATTTATTTATTTATTTTTTTTTGCAGAGTGTGGTGTTTGAAGTTAAAGGATAATCCTCGTCTTCTGTGATTTGAAAATAATTATGCATTCTTAATGAGTGGTATAGCAAGGGGCTCCATTTTTCCTCTGAATTGTAGAGTGAAGCCACAGCCTGTTTTGCTTATTTTGTAACAAACTAAGGTTTAGCTAGACCTTCACTATTAATGACATTTAAGGTTTTCTATTCGGGCTTCCCAAGCGGCCTCTCTACGTTTGCAAATTGAAGTGTTTGCATTTTTATTTCTGCCATTTCTTCTCCGTCAGGGCTGGTGCCATAAAAAAAGAATAAAAGTATCGCGAATCATGTCAAAAAAATATCTTGATTATGAAGTGAGTGCTGAGAGCAGCCATGCCACTTCCTGCAGCACCCCAGCTAGTAGCGCCAACAACTGGCGGCGTCCTGCCAGAATTGCAGACCGCGTATCCAGTTTCAGTCAGGTCAGCACTTTAATTTGCTTCGAGCCGACAGCCACTAGAGGCGCGGTGTCGCAACAGATCCCCGGGTGTGCTTCATGTACGGATGTACTTGCGCTTTATGCACTTCATGTGGTACGTGACGTCATCGTGTCAAGTGACGTTATTGTGTAAGGTGACGTGATGGGATGTCGAAGTGTCGCGTTACGTCACTTTATGTGAAGTAAGTGTCACGTGACGTCGCAATGTCAGGTGAATACATTGCATAGCGTTACGTCATGACATCTGCATATGCAGTGACGCGCCACCACGGAGTCACGTCACGTTACGGGACGCCAGACTCCAGTAACGTCACGTGACATCGTGACGTCACGTGAAACCGTGACGTCACGTGACGTCACAAATTTATAATGTCATGCGATGTGACGTGATTTCGTGACTCTACGCTACGTCACAAAGTCACTCCAAGTGACGTCAGAGTAGCATACCGTCACGTGACGTCATGTACACACACAGCATGTGCCCAGTTGATTTGCATCATAAAACAACTGACTGGAAGGCCGATACTGGAGTTAGCGTCCGCTGCGTTCTTCATAAGACGCAATTACGAATATGAGAGTTTGATTGGTGGATCGAAATTCAAGTGCGAATTTAGGAGTGCGACATCGCCAATGTCACATTGCGAGAAGACACTGGCGATGACTCCTCAAATAAGGTGCCGATCGCGGCAGAAAAGGCGGAACACAAAGCTAGACTTGCCACTGCACAGAGACAAAAGGTCGAGCTTATACGTCAGTAGAAGAATACATTAGAATCCGATAAGGTGTCGCAGCTATCGCTGAAACTGAAAAATGGATTCAAACAGGTCTTATCGTTATTAGTATTTATAGGACGTATGAGGTACAACTAAGTCACAATTCTCCCGGTTATTACCTCGTTTGAAAGGGTGTTCTCGATATCACGCGCAGTACGCTGGAAGGAACCTCATACCATCTCTATCCGTGGAAATGCAATTAGACACGTATTTAATTAAACAACTCTAGAAAAACGATCGATCTCGCTTCAAGTGTTGCATTACTTTTGCCGGTAAAAATTATTCTCACTCCGTTTACTTCTGTATACTTTTTCGGGCATCATTGTTATTAAAAACTCGACGCTATGCGGCTCCAAAACGCTTAGAATCTCCGAAATTATAATGAACTAAACTAAGGCACCGAAAAAAATCTTTTTTTTTTTTTTTCAACAAATTAAACTCTGAAAACGCCTAGCCGACTTCATTCTGAAATCAATACAGAAAACGCAGAAACCGAGCCATACGAAAGATTTGAAAAACATGATAAATTGTATCTGATAGGTTCATTGATTATGTACATTGATTATCGTCATGACGACGCTATCAAGTAAATATTTTAATAAAATAAATATATATTTTTTTAATATTATAAGGATTTTTCTTACCACCAAAGCGCACACGGTTGGACTGATTCTTGGCCAGTGGAGCAAGGCACTCTTCATCGAAAGTGGTGATCTTGTTGTTCTCGAAGGTCAGAGACGTGAGAGCGGGCATTTCAGCGGTAAAATCTCTGGGCAGCGATGTCAGGTTGTTTTTGCTACACTCAGAAAAAGAAAAGAATGAATATTTGGAAGCCTATATTTCCACAATCAATTCAGTTTAATTTGTAATGTGACCAACTTGTTTCCTAAGAGAAACCGGAACACTCGGCACGTGCACATGGAAATCACATTTTCACCGAATAGGCATATGGATATCGGATTTTAACTTGTGAAATTTCCGGACGTAGTATTCTTTCTGTAAAAACTACGACCAAAACACTTTCCAGACAAAAGAGAACACGTCCATTGTCGCCAGGTCCAACGGCGGACGTGTTTGCAGACGACCGGGTTAAAGATGAATGTAACTTGTGGCACCATCTCCGATGAGTGCAGCCAGCAGACTACAGTGTGCGCAGCTTGCTCGCTGTGCCCCTCAGAAGATGGCGTCACAAGCCGTCTGCGAACATGTCCGCCATTGGCCCTAACAACAGCGATCGTCTGCCAACACGTCAGCCGATGGCTCTAATAACAAATTTGTTGGTCTAATTTCCACACGGAAAAAGAACTAGGCCTTAAAATCTTGGTCCGCTGAACTTGATAAATCATGGTGAAAACGGCACTCGTAGAAATCTCACGTCCTTGAGAAAAATTATGTTTCAATTACAGTTAAGCATTTTATATACTAAAGCATTAATGAATGGTGTTAGTGTCTAATCCGACACAAATTTGGAAAACAAAACATAGAAGAATAAAGTTTTTCCTTTAACGATCTGCTACTGTAGACTTCATAGCAATAAGAGTGTAACGTGTAAATTAAGGAGATAAGTGTCTGAATTTTATTAATCAACTTTCGAAATTTTGCTTTTGCTGACAGACTCTAGTCAATATTTATGTACAAGTCATCAAAATAGACTGTGGCAGTTGTTAGACTTCAAAAAGCCAATTTTGCTTCGTGCCATTTTCATATAAAAAAATTTAGGAACTGTCAATGAGGTTACACTAACATGAAATGATTAATCTAGTAGAACTTTGCTCAGAGTTCACGAAATTGTCGTACGTAAAATGTGTTTCTGGGTTGCTAAATTTCGACTGAATCGTTTGTGCGCCGATAATCACATAGTGACTTCAGACAAAAACGCTATTGGCTGTTGTTATGACCCCACGATCGCTTATGACGTCTAATTGGATCGAGGTGCCCTTCACGCGGGGGAGCCCCCCATACAAAAATGACCTATGGTCGGCTATAGAAAATTCTTTGTATGGTCGGCTTTAGTTTTCTAGCCGTCTTTAGCATTTTTATGATCGCCTTTATGGGCCTCTTTAGCTTTTTTTATGGCCATATCGCTGTCCAGCCATAGCGCTCTTTAACGTGTCTAACGTGTCTAATGGTTGGCTAAAGATTTCTCTATGGCTTACCCTATGGCTCTCTTTAGCCAGCAAACTCTAAAAAAATATTTCAAGTTCCCTCGACTTGTGAACGCTACATGGTAGATATACATGCACAGAGTAGACAGAAAACAAGCAGAACACTACCCCACATAACAACGAAGCGACACCCCTCTAGTGCGAACATACGCTATGATCGCACTAGCTGTAATTTTTTCAGTCGAATTTTTTAATCCGATTTTGCCGGTGACCCATCATTTGTCGCAAAAACACGGAGAGGCGGAGCAAATATTACTCGTGCTTAATACATTATTTGAACTATCTCGTGGAATAGCCCCCATCTCTTAATTCAACACCCTGAAAAAGCAAATGTAGGATGATTAGGCTAATTAACTAAAAATCATTAATTTTCTTTTTAGAAAGTTTAATGAATCACGTTGACAATGCAGCGATGGCGGGCAGTACACTGTCGCTGAAGATTGCAACCGAACTAGTGCTTGATTGCAGTGTTCGGCGCCAGTGTAATTTATTTTCACTTTTGAGGGGGTAATAATTAATTTTAATTGTTGCACAAGTATTTTTCAAACAGACCATATTACTGGTTTTCACAATTCGTTGCAACAGCAGAGAACATATCTTTGGTCATAGTTTGTCACCGGCATTACAGAACTTTAGTATTGATTTAATTTTATAACGTGGAGTATTTTTACTAAAAAGTAAGCGCCAGTAGGAATTTTCTATGGGCGTGGAAAGAAAATTTATTGGCTCTTAGTCTTTAGAATCGGGGTCATAAATTTTTCTATAGACGAGTAAAAAACATTTATCGGTTCGCTGTCTTTAGACATGGGGCCATATAATTTTCTACAGGCGTCGAAAAACATTTTATTGGTTCCCTGTCTTTAGACTGAGGATCATAAAAGATTTTATAGACGCCTAAAGACAATTTTTTGGTTCCCAGTCTTTAGACTTGCGGCGATAGAATTTTCTATAGGCGGGGAAAGAAAATGTATTGGATCGCAGTTTTTAGATGGAGGGCCATAGATTTTTCTTTAGCTGGCGGTAGCTGTCTTTATGGATTTCTACGGCCGACCATAGAGGGCCATAGTAAATGATAGCCTGCCATATAATTTTCCATAGACGACCATAGACCATTTTTGTATGGGAGCCCTGTTGCCTCAGTGACGCTCTTGCCATGGTCACCAAAATTCAAGGTGTGCCAAGCGAATGAAATGCGCGAAATCTGTGGGTTGAGAGATTGCCCACCAAAACTTAGAGGACGGTGTCTCAAAAACACGTCACGTAGCCACTGTCACGCCAATGAGGCCACTCCTGTGTCGATTTTTCGTGCTGTCTATTCTTTGAGTTGTCTTCCTAAATAGTATATATACCCCTTAAAGGGCTTTCATAGAGGAACCAGAATTTTATGAAAAAAATAAGGTAATTGCAGTAGGGGTTTTTTTAGCCCTGGGGTTGTTGGGGATTATTGAGTTTCTTAATTAATTAACCAAAATGTTTTCATTAACTTAACGCTTGACCTTAATATTGTCCTGCCGTGACTTGAAATTTGTATTAAAATATTCGTAAAGGGCGCTACGGGGCGAGAAATATCTGAAACTTAAAAGGATCGAAGCCAAAAACCGAGCCTCCGAAACGCATCCGTGACGTGAATCCCTCCGCTCTGCGCGTGCTTCACAACCCAAATGTCCGCGACGCAAGTAGCGTGATCAGCAGAGACTTTTAGTACTGCGCACAGGAGCGAAAGCGAGCGCTGTGTGTTTGCGTTAGCGTTGCGCGTCGTCGCCTTGCGCCAATCCAAGACCGCAGATTGGACTCCGCGCACGCGCAGTGTGGAACAAACACACAGTGCTTGCGCTCGTTCGCATATGCCCTACTAAAACGCACTGGTGTGACACAAGCGCAGAGCGAAGGGATCGACGTCACGGACGCGCTTTCGGAGGCTGGGCTTGGGTTCTGAGCAATCTACGCGGCTGACGTTTCTCGTCTTGTAGCGCCCACTATTTCTAGTTTTATTTCACGTCACTACTAGACTATAAAGGCGTCGAGTGTCAGTTGTCCAACTACAGTATGGGCCTAGACATATTTTTAAGTTAACGAAAGCGTTTTGGTTAATAAGCTAACCAATTCAGAAAATTCACCTCGTTGCCAGGGACACCCATGACATTTAACTTAGCCCCAGGAATAAGGGGAAAAAAAACTCAGAGCAAGGTTTCTGTTTTGTTTTAATCATAAAATCTAATCAACAATGCCCCCCTCCCCCCCCCCCCCAAAAAAAAAAAACAAAAAACATTGCACGTTTTTTGGTTTTGTTTTTGTTTTTTATCTCTGAAATAATCTACGCATTGCCGAATGATCATTCTCCGCCCAAATCTAGCGCTAACGGTCCGCACCAGATGCCAAAGTTTCAAGACTTCTTATTCAAAAGTTATGTGATTTTCTAAACATTTCAATGGGAACACGAGGCCCGCTAATCACCCGCTTTCGTTAAGTGGCACCATTAAGCTACAAGTATTACAGGGATCCATAGACCACTACTTTCCAGTTCAAAGTTTTCGAAAATTAATGGTTGTTATAAAATTTGGGTATCAAGTTCGGACCGGAAGCGTTACATTTCGACGAAGAAATTTCTGTGGTAAATAACCCCGTAAATATTTTGGGGACACACTGTATGTTAAACAAATATACAGTGAAAAATAACTCAAAGTCAAATACTCTACGCTTTGTCGGAGTCTTAATGAACTTTCGTGACCGGACAGGATGACAATCGCTAAAACGCAGAAAGCCATATATGCGGCCCCCCCCCCCCCCCTTTCCTGTTTCTTTTCTTCTAATTAAAAAAGGCGAAAAAAGATGAAGCTCTAGTCCAATTTTTACAATTCTATTAAAACTTTTTGAACGACTGCATAGTATATAGGTGCGAAAGTTTTTAATTTCTGTGATGTTCTATTTGGTCGTAGTTTCTCGTTGAATGATATCCCGCTGAATGTCAGATTTCCATTTTGCATTGTGAACAGGATCGTTTGTAAAACGTTTCGTTGCTATCTCGCCTTTCTGTAATAAATATGTTATTGTTTTCTGCATCGGTTCACGACTCCTGGTTTCTTCATTTATTGTGGTAAATTATGTGTTCGATTGAACACGTTTTTAAAATGACAGTGATTAGAATTGTGTGTACTCCGTAGATGGATTTATATACACACTGATATTAAGGGAAGGTTTCACACGGAATCTGTGGTCGCTGCACGTCGCCTATATACTCACTACAAGTCAAGCCTCCACAGATTGAGCGCCGGCTTGGGCAGCATGGACCTCGAAAACGTCAGCAGGTTGCAGTGCCGAATGCCGACTGCCTCGAGGTTCTCCAGCTCAGACACCCAGTGCTCGTCCACGTAGCCAATGGTCGAGAAGGCGACGGTGATCACTCTGACACTCTTCGGAAGTTGGTTGAAGCCACTCGTCAGATTCAGGTTCGAGATTTCGGACAACCTCACCGTCACTAACCTCAACATATTCGCGAAGAGGCCCCAATTTTCCGGGACTGTGCTGCCCTCACTGAAAATGACCTTGCGAAGGGTCGTTTCGAGCCCAGCGAAAGGGTTTTCATCTTGCAGCGCGAACGATTCCAGGTGAACGTTGTCGAATTCCAAGACGGAGACGTTTGCGCCGGCGAAGGCTCGAGCGGGAAGATGGCTCAGACGGCTGTTCCTGACGATGAAGGTCAAATCCTGGTGCAGTATGGGCCGTTTCACGTGCTCGGAAAAGTCGTCGGGGCTGGTGAAGTTCAGGCACCTGTACTTGTGAGACGATTCCTGGTCGTAGCACACTGGCGAAGAAAGGACAATGCTTGCGATGAGGAGCAGGAAGGACAACTTGAAAAAAAGTGCCGAGAACATCTTTGCGCTGGCAGCTGAAGCCGGAAAGACGCGACCGCTTCGCCGGCGATTCATAATAAGCACGAGACGAGGTCCTCTGGACCTAAAAAGCGACTCTGATAAACGAGGATCGTGTAACATGCGGGTTTCGACGAGGGTCGCGATAAGCACCGCTGTGGTTCCGACTAAAGAACGAGCTGCATTAAAGCATGTCCTGTTTTGATGTCATATTTGGCGGATGTTAGTTAAGATAATGTTTGTTAAAAAGCGACTTTGATAAACGAGCATCGTGTAACATGCGAGTTTATGCGAATTTCGACGAGGGTCGCGATAAGCGTTGCTGTAGTCCCTATTAAAGCACGAGCTACATAAAAGTATGCTGATCATAATGTAGAAAACCCAAGACGGGTAAAAGCAGGCAAATTTGGTCGAAGAAGAAAGACAGGGGAAATTAAAGAACGTCTCGGTCTTTCCCCCTGGCTTTCTTCTTCGACACCGTTTCCCTGCGTTTACCAGTCTCGAATTTTCTACATTATGATCAACATCCACCAGCTCGCCTGCACACTCACTGTTTTTTCATAGAAATATGCCCTGTTTTATTTCATATTTGGCGGTTGTTATTTAAAAGTGCAAACTAATAGAGAAAATGTGGTAGGTTTCAGGGTTAGAAAAAAAAAAAGAGAAATAAGGAGGCGTAAATGAGCAGAAATCTACCGTCGTAGCAAGGTATTCGATGATAGGAACTATAAAAAAGTTATATACACAAACTTTATAACATCAAAACCACTAGCTTTTAACGAACTTCGTCGAAAGAACCTCGATTATACCGCCCCCAACGAAAAATGAGATTTCCAAGATGAATAATGATGACATATGGGTTGAAAGGGTAGTTAATAATAATTCAATATGTTATTTTTCACAATTCATTTTTGGTATAATAATATATCATCAATATATCATCAATACAAGAGCTAACATTCAGCCGTCTGATGAAGTTATTTCGTTTTATGAAGTTCTTTTTTTCTTTTTTTTTTGTCTTTTGTAAGCATTTTAAGTCAAAGACACTCGATAATCTTCCAAACTATTTTTTGAAGGTATACGCGGAACGTCTCAAAATATATTTTCATAAACTCTGAGCCATCATTACAGCCTGTTTCTATTCTATCCAACTGGAAAACGGCAAAGGTCAAGTGTGTATTGTGCAACGTGCCATTACCGGCTAATTAATTAACATCAAATAGCTGGAAGATGCTACAACTGCTAATTTTGAAGCACACTAACACCTCTCTAGTTACTCATTTCGTACTCAGTTGCAGTCCACGGGGCTATATAAAGTGTCCACCTACAGTATCTCAGCTAACTGGTGTCGTACAGTCGTTGGACGTACGAGCTACCTAGCAGAACGCATCGGGAGCTGAGGAAAACCCGCGTGAGGCGCTGAATTTTCTCCAACAACATGGCTATCAAAAACAGCTCGTGTTTATTGACGTCCAGCATTAACCATGCGGCGCCAACACTCTGCACGACAGCACCGAACCAAGTCACATTTTTACACAACTGGGGTGATAACAGGCCCATCGTCTCACGGCGTCATTAGTATCCGAGGAGCATCAGGCCACAACGTCGTTTGTTCTCTGCAAGCTAAGGACACATCTAGACATCGTTTTGCACTATTGTTGAGGTTGCTAAGTTCCGGCAACGTGGTGCACCTTTTATCATGAATCTTCAGCACTCGAGTCCCATCGTCAAGGGTTGTACACATGAGAGTGCCAGCATTTCCGCATTTTAAAGCGCTGTTGACTAAAGTGTTTCTTCTTTTCTTTTCTCTCAGAGGCATTAGACAACACACCTGTAAGGTTCCGGAACCTTTTTTTTTTTTTTGTTACTCTACTTCGTCTGGAGGCCCTGCGCGAACGATTTTGGGGGAGACGTGCGGGGTTCACTTGGGGATGTTTACGACCTCTGGAAGGGAGAAGTTTGTGCGCGGGTCGGGGAGCTTCCTTTGCGGTGCGGGTGTCCCGTTACTCGGGAAAAGGCCCTGGCGCGGCGGGCCGCGGCGCGTCCCGCGCCCCGTTCGGCTGCCTGCAGCTGGGGAGGCTCCGCGGTTAAGTGTTTTTCTCTGGTGGTCGACTAGTGCCACCGCTTGGGGTGGTTTGCTTGGAAAGTCGTTTGTCCTTCCCATTGACAAGTGCCGGTTGCTTTCCTGGAAATGTCCCGGGCGCTGTGCTTCGTCTGTCGGCACCTGTCTTTCTAGCCGGTGTTCCGAGTGCCAGGCGTGATTGGGCGGGTCTGGGGGGCCCGACTCGTCTGCGCCTCCTACGCCTGGCGCCGTCTGGCCCTGGGCTCGGAGCGCCGGATGAGAATGTTGACCTCCACGGGAAGATGGGAAAGAGGGACAGGCTGCTCTCGATAGGAGCACAGGCGAGGCAAAGCAGGGCGTCTTTGGTTCGGTACCGTTGGAGAGAAAGGAGCCCGCTCTCTAACGGCGGCCAAGTCCGGGGCTCGGGTTGTCGATGTTTGTATTCCTGTATCCCGTATGTTAAATTGTCTTTATTAAACTGTTGCAAAGAAGTATTTGCGTAAACAGTTATCTGGCCCGAACCGCTACACCACCGCCACCGTCCAACGCAAGCCATCCTCCTCCACACCATCGAGGAGGAACCACCTATCAAGAACCTTACTAACATACCATTTAGACGTGTACTCTCGATCTCGATGAAACACTAGAAAGCGCGATGGTAATCAGTATAGATCCAGAGTAATCCTTTAAGTGCAGGCATGACGAGGAACACCCTGCGACTACCTCTTCGATAAAGAGATGGGTCGTTCTCAAGAACCCGCGGTTTCCAAATCGCCACAACGCTCAAAGCGCCTCGGGCGGGACTTCTCCAGCTCCAGTCGGAGTTCCGCTGCGGTAGCTGATTTGTGGTATAGCGACTAGCATTATTCTTCACTGGGCTTAAAGCACCAGGGGTCAGGTATTGATGTCATCATTTTATATTTTAGGAAGGCGTAAAGTAAGCCGTAAAGAAGTAATAACAAAATTTAAACCCATCTTGAAAGAAATAAAACAAAGTAGCTTCGGCTAAGTTAACCGGATCGAAGCATTTCCTTAAACTTTGCCAGTATTTTCCTAGTATTTAAATCTACCAATAACATGTGTCAGCTGTTGCATCATGAGTTTCCTGTGAATCTCTTTTACAGCCACAACTGTTTTGGTATGTATTTCTTGGTATTTAGTTAACCTAAACCAGGTCGCCTGACATCATTAACCTTATGGGTTCTAATTCTATCACTAAAACTAGTCGAAAGCGGGGTTGAAAAGCTTTCAACATCGACATGCTAGAATTGGGGTCGGATAGGGAAACGATTTTATTTTTCGGGGAATTCAACTACGCCGCTAGTTTCAGCCAGTTTGCAATTTTGTACGCATCATCTCTGCGCTCAGCAACTGCGCCTAAGGCCCGCTTCGCGAACCGGGCAACATTCCCAGCAAATTCTGTGTTGTTGGAGGGTTGACACCAATTGCTCGAACCGGGTCCGGCTCAATACAGACGAGCAACTCGTACAATTTAGAGACGTTTGAAGCGGCAGCAGCCAATCAGGGACGCGATATTTACCCGTGACACCCCTGTGGCGGTGATGACGCCAACTACTGACACTGTTCTGATTTGAAACGGATTGTTGGTGGGAATAACCCGTTTCAGATAGATCAGTTTCTTTTTCAACGCTCTTTAAAGTTGCAAGAACACGTTTATAGCAGTTAACTGCGCGTATAAACAGTGCAAGCCAATTAAAATTTAATGATGATGATGGCAAATTGTAGCAATTTTGTTGCTGCTTGTGAACGTGAGCGGCCCGTGTTGCTGGTGTTGCGATGTAAAGTTGCTGAAAGATATTGCCTTAGGTTCTTAGATTCAGGTCAGTTCAGTTCTTTGTACAAATATTAAACGTCAAAGCGGCAGCTTCACCTTTTCTGAGTTTTAATGTTAAGAGGATGACGCTTGCGAGGACCACAACTCGAGTAGCGCTTATCTGTAATTCAGAGGACACCCCCCTTAGACGTCCTCTCATTCTTTTACTAGGTTTTACGTCGCAGTGGCCCTGGTTCCCTCGTCTGGATTTAAAAATTAAAAACGGAAAGGTCAAAAGATTTCGGAGGTCGGCCTGTTTAGGATAAATTTAAGAACTGTCTCAGGGCCAGAGAGTGGTTTCTAAAAAAAAGTTAATTGATAACTGCAAAGGTCTCGCGAAACCTCCCTCGTATAATTTATTTTTAAATCTTTCGGCTATCCAGCCCTGACGTTTTGTCAGAGATTTAACAAACAAAAATACTATGTTTGAATAAATATTTTAGTATATGAATACTTGTACTGCAGACGAAATTGGGTGTTGTAACATTTTAATCAACATCGCCAGTAAGCTGCTAACACTGAACCCGAAGTCAGTCCGTTCACTACCCCCATTAGTCAGTGACAATATGAGAGTGAGGGCGTCAAAGAGGAGTTTCAGTGTTCCGTTTCTAGTGCGAGCTTTTTACCTTCGACAGTGTTTCGGCAAAAGCACGACGGAAGGCGGCGAGCCCGTATTGGAGGCCGGGCGTTCAAAAACACGTCCTGCTGCTCTCACTCATTGAGTGAGTATAGAAGACAAGGCCTGCACCTTTCCTCTTCTCATCACCCCCCCCCCACACACACACACACACACATCATCAACATCATCACATCATCGCCGGTGGATCCACAAAAAACCTCACGACCTGTATGTTGTTTACCCGCTAAAGACAATGCCAGGAGCGGAGCTTACTGGCACGCGTGATCAATCCCTCTCACTTTTTTGTCGTGCCTCCACTCTCATTCGCAGGGAGACGCGTCTTGGTCGACTTGCTTGCGGTCATAGAGTTATTATAATGTACGCTAGAGGTTGAACTGGCGCTGGTGTCTACGCAACTTCCTGGCATGCAAATTGAAGCAGACAGCAACCAGTCTACTTTTGCGGTGACCCTATGCGTTCCAATCGGAAAACGTTCCTACATTTTATCTCTTCACGAAGAATAAGATGGATCACATTTATTAT